AAATACTATTTAAGGAATAACCTCTTCCTCATCTAATTCCTTATCTCTGCTAAACATAGCTAAAAATTTATCTGTGATTTTTTTCGCATTTGTTTTTTTCTCATCTCTGATAAACACAGCCGACACTACTAATAACAATCCAAACGCAATTCCAGCCTTAAACGAAAGACTTAGAGACGATACAAGTTGTTTTTTCGTTGGTTCTTTAAGAAATTCTGGAAGCTGATGATACGACTTAAGTAAGTCTGGAACAGAATCTGCTAATTTTATTTGGTCCGAAAAACCGGATGCAAATACAGCAGCTACAATCCCTAACCCGAATACAGCACCAACTTACAAAAATAAACAATAGCAATTACATTATTAATTAAAAAAAGAGTAAATAAATCAAAATATTAAAAATAAATAAGAGACTTACTAGTTCTGAAAAATGTTATCAAAGAAGTAACAGCTGCGACATCCTCATATTTTACGGAAGCTTGACCTGACAGAAATACAGTTTGTACGACAGCACCAGCGCCCAATCCACTAATTAATAAATAACCAATTACTTCACCAAAAGTTGAATTTATATCAAATAAGCTTATCAATCCAATACCAACAGCGGTCAATATACCACCAACTATACAAATTACTTTATAGGAAATTATTGTTGTATGAGAAACTATTAATCCAGATAATAAAACTGTGATAACAGCACCCGCAATGTAAGGAAGAAGTTTAACACCAGCCATAGTAGCTACATATAAAAAAAATATAAGAATTTTCAAGAAAAATTTGAGGAAGCTCAACCATTATTTTATTTTTTTTATAAAATAAATACCTGAATCTTCATTGACAATTTCAAAATATACGGGTAGGAAATATATCACCGAAAAAAATATCATACCAAGGCAAAAATTAACCGAAAAGCAAGCAACTATACCACGATCTTTAAACAAGCGTCCTATAAAAAAAAAAAAAAAAAAAAAAAATTCAAATTAAATTTTTATTTGTAAATAAAGAACTTCATATTATATGTAATAAATTTTACCAGGTGCAAGAGGTTCAGCTACAACATAACCTTCCACAAAGATAAATATAGCTAATAATACCACACCAACAACCAACAAACTAATAATAGTGGGGGACTTCCATGGGTATGTAACCCCACCCCAACTAAGAGGTAACAGAAATGCCATCATTGTACAGGTAATTAGCAGTGATCCCAACCAATCAACGCGTTTAAGCTTTTCGTAAAAAGAATCAGTAGTTCTTGACGATTTAAAAAAGAACATAATACAAATTATTGCTACAACTCCTATTGGTACATTAATATAAAATGCCCATCTAAAAAAAAAAAAAATTGTAGTCATAATTAGATACTATTAACCCGTAATTTTTAAGGTAAAAAGTGACATATACCTCCAACTCAAATTATTATTATCTGCAAATAATCCACCAATTACTGGGCTTATGATGGAAGCGATAATGAAAACAGCACCGATAAATCCTTGAAATTTACCACGATCTTTAACTGAAACAATGTCTGCAAGTATAACTAATACTATGCTACACGAATAAAGAGAAAAAATCATTTAAGTGTTAGATATTTCAATGAATACAAAGTTCTAGTAAATGATACATACCCAAATATACCACCGCCACCTATTAAAATAAATGATAACGAAAAAAAGATTTTCGTTTGAGAACGTTTAAAAACGTTTAGAAACATACAAACTTAAAATATAAACATTATTAATTTAATTTACCAAGGCCGGCTATCGATCGAGAAATTATTAACATATCCATGGTCGAAGATACACCACATAAGATGCTTCCCAATTCAAAAAGTAACATTGCTGCTAAAAATGTAATTTTACGACCAAAGATATCAGCTAGTTTTCCGTAAGCTGGTTGAAAGGAAGTCTAAGACATTAATTTGATGTAAATATATAGTCAATAAATTATTATATGCAATAAATAGCGATAATAGCATAAAAACCAATTGACTGATTACCGCGGTAATTAAATAAGCAGTTCCAACCCACACAATTTTATCAATAGATGCAAGGTCAATTACTATCTTTGGCAAAGCAGTCGTGACGATAGTTTGATCTAAAGCTGCCATGAACATGGCAAAACATAGACTTTATGCAAAAAAGGACAATTAGGAGATTATCGAACACATGAAAGGTTATACTGCTTAAAAACTTATTAAATAAATACCCAAGAAAAACAAAGAAAAATTGAAGTTGAGTCAATTCCGTATATACTTGATCATCATCATCAATTTCATTCAAATTAGTTATTCCCTCATGCCCGGATTTTTCTTTAATGAGTGCTAAACCATTCGTTTCTATATCATTTGATTCCAAAACTTGACTTGCAGAATTTTCATTATGTTTTATATCATCCTTTTCTAATTTATTAGATTCTAGATCCTGAGGCATCTTTTAACCTTGCAAAAAGCTGTCAAAATGACTAAAACTGGTTTTTAGACATTAGACATTAATTTATAATTAATTTATAGTTAATTTATAGTTAAACGTCAATGTACAACAATTATATGTTTTTCAATCCGTAGTCTACATGGTTCGTTAATCCTAAAATGGTAATTTGTAAACATAATGAAAAGCCAATTGTAGAGTAACTGGATTATGATCAATGACAATACCTGATACGTACTGTACTACGCACTAGTATGTTAAAAATAGTACAGTACGGAACAGATAACAATTTTATACGTAATTAAGTTTTTATAACTTTCTTAAAACAAATTAAAATAAAAATTCCTCTTTCAATATTATTGCTTTGATGATCTAAATAACAAATATGAAAGAGGAATTTTTAAAATTTTTAATTTTAGAAAAATTATAACAATTTAATGTAAAAATTTTGACGCTTAACTTATATATATTTTTTAAAAAAATTATAAATAATTTGAGCATTTTGATTGGTTAATATTTTTAATATATATTTTTATTATAAGAATTTTTTAAAATTAGGCGAAAAAAGTGGATATCTTACTGTCTTAAGCCGTCCCGCATTATTATGATAAAGTCTTATGTCAAGATATGGTAAAACCTTTTCAATTAAACTTTTCGAAACATCTTACACGAAGTGCTTCTTATATTTAAAGGCTTCTTATGTTGAGAGTCATTTATGTCAAAATTTTAAAACGGTTTAATCATTCTATAAAGTCCAGGGTTGTGGTTTTTTATAACTGACTCATAAAATACATTGAAGCTTTAAAGCAAATTTTATTTAACTAGAAATTAACTTCTATTTCAAGTTAAAATTCCTCTAAAATTATCGTTATACGTATAAAAAAAAAATGATTAGTAGTATTTCCAAAAACGATCGAGGATTTACATAATAATGGCAAACGTAATGAAATACGCATAATAATCCAGTTATATCCATTGTTTGTGTAGCTCTCCCACGATAGTTTCATGAGGGCGTTCCAACATCCCTACTAACCAATTTATCTCTTCACTAGTTTGCCTTTCTCGACTAGCGTATCGTTCTAGTACTGTGCTTTTATTTGTTTCATACATCTATGGTGACAAAGTATCCACAGTTCGAATACCAACAACTTTTACACGACAAAAAGATCTTGTGATTTCACTTCTAAATTGTCGCCTTACATATTTATTAGCATTAATACATGGGGTGAGTCAACAGAAATTCTGCAAATTTTTTATATAAATTTAAACAATAGTAACTTCACAAGGACTTAACTAAATTAATAAATTAATTCTATAAATCTGTATTTATTTAAAAAAATTATTTAGTTGTTTTTCTTAACCCTACATACTGTATTTCCCTTATACAATATGTTGAGTCATTTATTAAATGCACCCGATTTGGTTAGTTAATTCGATCAAGAACCCTGATGATCGCCACATATACAATTAAAAAAAAGTAGCATGGTGGACAATCCTCGCAGTACAAACTTCCCTATGTGACACAGTATCGATACTGTAGTTTGGGTTCCCTTTAATGTTAAATTATCCTGCACCACATGCACTACGTATTAACTGTTAATGTTATGGGCTACGTATTACTAACGACACCATTGGCGTAATCATGCGTTGCCAAGTGTTTGTATCAAACTATATATAAAACTAAAAAAAAAACAATATACTATAGACAATTATTTTTATATCAACTTTTTATACGTAGCATGGGACAAACCCAAATTTGGTGATGATCAGCTCAATTGAATAAAATTTAATTTTATATGCGTTGAAATACTTCCCTATCAATTAAATACATTAAAAAAAAAAAAAAAGTAGCAAGAAAAGCTCTTAAAAACCTACATTTCACTAAAATTAATCAAAAATAATCACCATTATTCAAGTTTTTTATAAAAGATCGAAGATATCTTACGATCTAATAGGTAGGATTTAATAATTTTTATACCATAAGATTTGTCTCATATGAACTTGGTCGGGCAGAAAAAAAAGTGTCGGGCCCGTGATTGTCATAATCGGAACTTGAATCTATAAACATCAAAGATTAGCGTTAATTGATATCTATACTATTTATCAAAATATTGGCATTGGCATATTTTCGATGTTTATAGATTCAAGTTCCGATCATGACAATCACGGAACCCACCTAGCATTACCACCCAAATCAGTTACGTAATAGTAGTTTGAAATTTAAATCTGTTATTTTATTCAAAATACTATGTAAATAATATTCGAATTAACAATATTTGTATAAATAAAAATTTGAAGATTAAAAAATAATAATAAAATATAAATTCACTATTTGAATCATTATAATTTAAAGTTTTTGTTCATATTTTGCAATTATGGTATTTACTTTATTGCCAGTAAAAGGTGTTATTACATCTGCTCCATGTTTTGGAATATTTTTTGCTTGCTCTAGAATTTTTATATCTTCTATCATTTTTTGAAGGGAACAAAGTTTGATTCAATATTCTGCAGCCATTTTTTATATAAAATATGTAAAAAAAAAATAGCGGATTATTTTAATATATACCCTTATTAAGAATTTTTCTTGTATCGTTCCATAATTTCTAATTCAGACTCGCTTTTTTCAGCTTCTTCGCTTTCAACACATAAGCCCCTATCTTCATTATTCAACTCTTCATTATAAGTTATATTCGAATTTTCTGAAGCATCTAAATTTTCCATTAAATTTGATTGTA